GATAAAGGACCCCCAGAAACAGCTGCATCTCAATGCCTGGCAAGGGACCCCTGGATAAAGGACCCCCAGCACCCCAGAATCAGCTGCATCACAAAACTGGGCAAGGGATCCCTGTATAAACAGACCCCGTTCCCCACCCCAGAGTTAGCAGCCTCTCAGCTTTGGCTGAAGGATCCCCGTATAAACAACCCCTGCACCCCACCCCAGAGGTACCTTTATCTTAGGATGGACTGAAAGAACCTGTATTAAGAGCCACTGGAGTCAGCTGCATCTCAGCACCCGGCCAGGGCTCCCTGTATAAACAGCCTCCATGCCGACCCCACCCCAGAAGCGGCCTCATCTCGGTGCCGGGCAAGGGACGCCGCTGGGCAGCAGGACCCGAGGGCAAGCTGGGGGGTGAGCGAGCGAGGGGGGGGAGGCGCAGCAGCACCCAGCAGTTGCATGATGGGAAAAAGTCTCCTTCCTCCACCCCCGGCATCCGGTCCAATAACTTCTGGCTGAGCCAGAGCGTAGCCCGGAGAAAGAGAGGGACAGCCCGATCCCCACCCTGGAGCAGCCGCCCCGGTTCCCAGCGTGAGTCCCCAGCCCAGGTAACCCCGGGCCCCCTATTCCCAGCCTGGCTGGGTCTCCCAGCCGCTCTCAGCCAGCGGATCTGCCTCTGCCTTTGTCTGGGAGCTGAAAGCGACCTCGGCTTCCTGCCCCCCCGCCCCAGGACCCACGGAGGCAGAGCTCGGGGGGGAAGCAGAGAGCCCGGGACCCGGGGGGAGCCCGGCCCGGTTGGGTGAATGCGGACGGGACAGGCGAGCGCACGCAGGCACCAGCGGCAGAGTGACGGGGGAAGGGTGGGAGCAGCGCTGGCTGCGGGCAGCAGCAGACTGGTTCCCAAGGGGCTCCATGGGAGCCGGTTGGGAGATTTGGTTTTTGTTTGTGGGAATGAAGCAAATCGTATTCTTAGGGGGTGGGAGAGGGGGACATGGGGGCCCCAAAATATTCCTGGTGGCAGAGGGACAGTAGAAGAGATGGGAGAGAGACCAGGCGCCTGTGACAGGGAGAGAGCATGTGTGTGTGTGTGTGTGAGAGAGATGGGCAGAAAGCGTGTGCATGTGTGTGTGTGACAGGCAGAGAGCATGTGTGTGTGAGTGAGTGAGTGAGAAAGAGAGAGAGATGGGCAGAAAGCGTGTGCATGTGTGTGTGACAGGCAGAGAGCATGTGCTCATGTGACAGGGAGAGAGCGCGTGTGTGGGTCTGATGGGCAGAATGTGTGTTTGTGTGAAGGGCAGAAAGTATGCGTGTATGCACACATGTAACAGGGAGCGAACGTGTGTGTGTGTGTGTGTCGTGGGCAGAGAGTGTTGGTGTGCATGTGTGTTTGTGTGATGGGCAGAGAGCATGTGTGTGCGCATGTGACAGGGAGATAGCATGTGTGTGTGTGTCAGGCAGTGTGTGGTTGTGTGATGGGCAGAGAGCATATGTATGCGCATGGGATAGAGAGAGTACATGTGTGCGTGCCAGGCAACTTGTGTGTGTTTGTGTGATGGGCAGAGAGAACACGTGTGTGCGTGCATCACATATGACAGGAGAGAACATGTGTGTGCCAGGCAGAGAGTGTGTATGTGTGTTACATTAATTTATTGAAATATATGGACTTAGAGTCACAGGTGTCCAATATTAAACAAGGTTCAGGGTTTGGTAGTAATAGTATTTATTACCCTGTCAAACACCCCATTAAAGAGTCTTTTATCCTTTAATAAAGATACAAAAAAGGAAGGGACACCAGTTAATGTTTGACGTGTAAAGTACCAAATAAGGCTTTTGTTTTAACAATGTTTCTCTTTTTTTAAAAAATGCTGGAGGGGGTTTCCAAAAAGAGGGGTCCCTCCCCCCCCCCCCCCCCATCGTTTGACAGACATTTAGATGGAATTAAAGATAGTAATAACTGTCAAAACGTTAAGAGAAATGGGCCGGAGCTGTTATCATTAGTGAAGTTTGATTTTTGTTATTTAAAAGGCAAAGCAAGATGTGCACACCCCGGGGGACCGAAAAGAACAGCAGAGAGAGAACGTGCAGTTTCTGTCTGTGTCGTTGTTGACTTTTACTTGACGTTTCACTGTTGGAAAAACACGTGTTGCCCGTCACACCCATCTGATCAGTCACACTAAGACTTGGCAAACTTGTACCAGTATTGGGCTGTTTAGGGCGTTTTTTTGAGCTGCCTTTTTGGTCTGAGGTTTACAGCTGTATTGCAAAATATACAGCCTTGGCTGGCTACGCCAGACGCTTATTAAATAGAAGGCAAAAGAAGAGGGATAGGAAAGAGAGAAATAAAATGGGGAAGGAAAACACCCCATAAGGGTGGAGGGACAAAATCTTACATCCCAGGAGGTGTTTGGGATTCAGTCAGAGCCAGGGGAGGTGGTGATGTCATCTGGGTCCCTTTTTTTGCCTGAGTCTGGTCAGAAAAATCTCTTAGGATCAGGATGACAAAGACCCAACAGTGTCATGGTGGATCCTGGTCATCCAGGAGACAATGTGGTCGGGCAGTCATGATGATAAATCTTGTTCCTTCCTGATCTTCTCTCTTTCAGTCTGCCTGCATCCCCCTTTGCCACTTTTCCTCCTAAAGTCTCTCCTTTTTTTAAGGACCTCCGTGCAGTGTCTGCACACCCCATCCCCCTTTTGGGGTGGATCTTGGGTGAGGGGGCACTGCGGTTACAGTCCACCAGACTGTCCTTGTGCTTAAGACAGCACGGCACACAGGTTAGAGTCAATACGGCTGCCCTCGGGTGCAAGGCAACCTAATGGGCGGAGTCAGGGGCCACTCGGGGGAAGGGGAGGTTGACAGCTGGGGTAGGGGGCCCAGGCCCTCCCTGCTCCACCAGGTCCCAGCCCAGGGCCCTGTCAGCAGTGAGTGTGGTCATCACCCAGTCAGCAGGGATCCTACTGCAACACGCTGACCTTCCTCAGGTGGGAGATACCATTCACTCCGCCCCCCAGGGCCACTTTGTACTGTGTCTCCTGAAACTGGGATCTGTACGTCATCAGGGTCTCCAGGCTCCTTGCACAGGTCACTCCCTGGGATTCTGACTCTAGTCAGCCCACCGACAACAACAGGTCTCTGGTCTGGTCCTGGGGATCCCGCAGTCAGGTGCTGAAGCAGCTTCTGGACTGGCGCCTCCACCAAGCATCCTTCCCACTCAGTGGTCAGCCTAGAATGAACTGGGCTGCTCCCTTTTATACTAAAGCAGCAGTTGGAGCATGCCCAGAATGGTCTGAGGGGTGGGACTTGCTCCGCCCACAGTGTGGGGTTAATCCTTTCTTGCCTAGTGCGGGGTATGCACACCCTGTCACAGACCCCAAAAGGGGAGTGATGGGTGGAATAGCCCATCCCATCATTATTTTGTCCACCAATAGGCCCAATATCTGACACACCGATTTTGGTTCATTGACTTTTGGTCCCAGGCATGACTGTAACACAGTTTTGAATTATATCAGTAGGCCTTTTTGTTTAGATTAATTCAGGTTTTCTGTCTCCCTTTTGCACTTTTTCCCACCATCATATATTGTTAGAGGTTATTGTAACACGTTTGTAAACTTTTGTTTACTTTTTCATAGTTAGGCTCACAATAATTGCTAGGCCCCAATTGTTCCAACAGTGTGTGTGTGACAGGCAGGGAATGTGTGTGTGTGTGTGTGTGTGAGAGAGAGAGAGAGAGAGACGGGGTGACCAGATGTCCCAATTTTATAGGGGCTTTGTCTTATATGGGCCCCTATTATTCCCCACCCTCTGTCCCGATTTTTCACACTTGCTATCTGGTCACCCTAGTGCGAGATGGGCAGAGTGTGTATGTAAGAGAGAGAGAGAGAGAGAGAAATGGGAAGAGAGCATGTGATTACAAAGACAATATTTTAGTGGGGAGAAGGTCTATGAAGGGCAGGAGCTTGTGTGGAGGACATGCAAGAGAGGTGAAGGCTAAGAACACGTGGGGGTGACACTAAAACAAGGTGCATGTGAGAAGCGTGTTTGGGTGAGGGGTGGCCACGTGGGTGAGGGGACGTGTGTGTGTGTGTGTGTGTGTGTGTGTGTGTGTGTGTGTGTGTCAGGAGGGATACAGTGGGAGGCGTGCTCATATGTGAGGAGGCAAAGACTCATGAGGGGACGTGTGTGTGAGTGCAGCGGGGAAATGTGTGTGTGTGTGGAGTGGGACACGGATGCTGCAATCCCGTTCTCCTCACCTCCGGGCATGGAGGAGCCTGTCTGTGCTGGGTGGGGCAGGGAGCTGAGGGAATGGAAGGTGGATGGGGAGGTTAGAGAGAGGCCTGTCTGTGCCGGATGGGGGCAGAGAGCTGGGGGTATGAGTGTGCGAGATGTGCAGGGGTCTTTCAGTTATGACTTTTTCTCTGGAAGCTCTGCATATGTGGTATGAGCCATGCAAATTCTGCCGGCACTGGGAACTTTCACTCACACCCTTGTTCAAAGGTAAGTGAGGAAGAGCGTTCCCTGTTAACACAGTGTGTGAGCATCCCACAGGCCTTCATGCATTTATCCTCACACATCACTGTGAGCCAGGGCAGTGCAACTGCCCCCATGGTACAGGTGGGGAAACTGAGGCACTGAGAGACTAAGGCCTGGTCTACCCTTCAGAGCTTTACGGGCACAGCTTGGGAAGGGGATGGAGGGTGTGATACTATTACCGACATAGCTATATCAGTAAATGCCCTAGATGCAGTTACACTGATTGAGCTTATATCAGACACCAAACCAGCATTAGTTATATCAGTGCTATATGTTTTATACCAGCATAACTGCATCTCCACTACAGGGTATTGGCGGTGTAGCTATGCTGATGTAATCATACCACAAACCCCACCTCATGTAGACGAGGCTAGAGTGACTGTCCCAGACTCACACACAGAGTCTGACAGAGCAGGGAACTGAACTCGGATTTCCCACGTCCCTGGCTCGTGCTCCTCATTTCCCCATCCCCCCTCTGGGATGATTCTCTAAGAAGGAGAGGTGGTCACTAGCTGGCTGTAAGAACACAGCTTTTCTGGCAGGGAAGGGTGCGTCCACACTAGGAGGACAGGAGTGTTAGTGAACAGGACACACAGTCCCAGGGGACAACTCGGTCGTTGTCGTTTTTACTAGGAGTTAGCAGGTTGAGCTAAGCACTCAAATCCCTCGGTACCACGGAATTGCCCCCTCACTGTCTGTGTTTCCCTTGCCCTCTCAGGAGCCGCGGGAGAAGCCCCTCTTTCCAGACAGCAGCATTGCCGGCTCCAGGAGGTCGCTCTGGTTTTACGAGACAGTTTGTGCTTCTGGGCCCTCGGACCTGATTCCCCACCCGGCTCACGTGGTGTCAAAAACGAGACACTGAGGTAGGAAGCCAGAGGCTGGATGCTTCCTGCCAGGGGCATGAATGAGACAGAAAGGCCTGGGGTCTGGGCTCATCCCCTGCTGGGATAAGGACACCCCCGGGGAGCAGCCATGGCTGCAGGGCCGGGAGCAGAGGGGGCCCTGGACCTGCAGTTTCAGATCCAGGTGGAGCAGTCGGTGTGCCCCGCTGGGCTGACGGAGCAGCAGGTCTCAGCTGGGCCCGAGCCAGATGCGGGATTGGAGCGGTCGGGCGGGCTGCCTATTGTGGTGCAGTCCGGCACCATTGGGGAGCTGCTGAGATGGGTGGCGCCGCAGCAGGCCCAGTATGCGTCGCAGAAGGAGATGCTGCAGCACTGGGAGGACGTCTGGCAGGAGGTGCTGCAGGCCCTGCGCATCCTCCCGGAGGTGGGGCCGGCTCCGGCCTGCGCCCTCAGGCCTGGAGAACCAGAGCTGTCGCCTCCTCCCGGAGTTGTGCCAGCACCGACTTGTGCACGTAGGTGTGAAAACCCCACCTCCCAGGGGGGCAGTGAGTCACCCAGGGGTCTGGAGCAGGCGGGGATCGAGCTGCCGGAGGAGACGGCACCGTGTCGAGAGGAGCAGCGGTCAGCCACGCAGACCCCTGCCGAGGTTAAGCCAACTCCAGCACCTGCGTGGAGAACCCTGGAGCTGCCACAGCTGGCCCCAGAGGACGATATCGAGGCCTATCTGGCCACCTTTGAGCAGGTGGCTGACGCCCGCCAGTGGCCGAGAGAGGAATGGACAACCCGACTGGAGCTGTACCTCACCGGGAAAGCCCAGTTGGCTTATGGCAGCCTAGACATCACAGAGACAAGTGACTATGGGAAGGTGAAGGCCACCATCCTGCGTCGCTATGGCATCAGCCCGGAGACACAGCGCAGGCACTTCAGGGAATTCTGCTACCAGGAGGCCGAGGGGCCCCAGGAGGCTTACAGCCGCCTCCGGGAGCTCTGCCATCGCTGGCTGGAGCCGCAGAGCCGCACCAAGGAGCAGATCCTGGAGCTGCTGATCCTGGAGCAGTTCCTGACCATCCTGCCGGAGGAAATGCAGGGCTGGGTCTGGGAATGTGGTCCTGATACCGGCGCCCAAGCGGTGGCCCTGGCAGAGGGGTTCCAGGTGGGGCAGCCAGAGGCCGAATGGCCGGGGCTACAGGTGAGAGTGTAACTCCGGTTATCTCAGTGAGGGACCGGGGTGGGAAGGGGAGACAGACTGTGGAAGCCACAGG